TCGACCATGCATCGAATTTGTGCTGTGTTTCTAGAATTTTGGGCGAAGTGGTGTAGTGGCAAGTGGCACGCTTACCACGCGAGCGGTCCGGGGATCAAATCCTGGGTCGTGAGTCCCTCCGGGTCGGTTAATTGGTACCAGACTTGTCTGGGAGGATAAAAACACTGACTTGTACATCGGCTGGCCCCCGCAAGTCATTGTATAGGCCACATCGCATTCAAACGCCACTACGAATGTACAAATGGAAGTAGAATGCGTGCCGCATCCCAAAAAGGGATTGATCAACGGCAAATGCTTTATCCTTATCCTTTCCATAATTTATTTGTATTCTTTCAGTGATTTTCTTGCCCAATTGGGAGCCCAAGTACGGCTAAGGAATTTACTGAAGTCATGTAGCGACCGCGAAAAGCAGGAAGCGCTCATCAGTAAGTCTAATCATTGCATTGTCTACCATTTTCTTGTTCTCAAAAGTGGTAATCCTTTTCAAATGAGTAGTCCATCGATTATTGTTTTTATAGAATCATATAACTTCCTTATGGGTGATATGGGCGAACGATTCTTGGCTATGTCTGTATTTCCAAAAACGCTCAGTGGAATTCTTGAAAAAAGGGGAGGACCTGCAGGATTTGCGCAGAATCGATCCACGACGGCGAAAAACTCTGAAAAAGCCAATTAAAGTATTCATGAAAGGGACTGATAGACTAGGTAGATTTGATTATTTTGTTGTTGTATAGTGCTTATTTATTCGAACTATGAAAATGTAAATTCTCAATGAAAAGTAATAAATCCTTTCCCTTGCTGTTCATGTGCTCGGTTTATTGTGCGACATGAAATACTTTGTTTGTGGCATCTTTTTTTTATTTCTGCGTATTGCTACTTCTTAGACTATGGTGAAGACGAAAGACCATGGGCTACAAGCTTTCCAATCGATACGCATGAAATGGGAGATCAGCACACAGAGCTGCATTCTGAATTTACTAGGCGATGGAGCATTGCCTTCACCCGTCGTGAGTTCGTTTAGTTTTTTTTTACACTCTACAGGCGTCCTTCACAGCTATTCATTTTTTTCAGGTATTATTCTGCTGCTTGGATAGAAAGTGCTTTGAGTGCTATGCTGTGCTCGCAATATTGGCTGAATATGGCTCCATGGGAAATCTTAAGAAGGAAGATTATATGGCTTTAGGATCGTACATGGGGTTAGAGCCTGTTGGCGAGGTTCGATTACCTTCAATTTTTGGTTTTTGTCAGTTCTTTAATTCCTGATCACCACACAGTGTGCAGCGGTTCCCCAATCTCTGCATGTTGGTTCTTAGTGAGAGAAGCAAATTTTCATCATAGGCAGAATTAGCGCCTCTAAGTGCTTATGATCTCTTCATCTTGGAGTATCGTCTGAATTATCGTTCGTCTTGTTCTTATAAAGAGCAGTCAAGAAGGCTCCAGATTGTTCCACTCATTAGTTCTTTGTGCGAATAACCGTGCTGCCTAAGTGAACATTGCTTTCAGCCCATTATAGTCTTATGACATGGCTTTTCAGTCCGACGAGGATGATCAGTCTTTTGTGGGGACTGAAATAGAAGAAACAGAAACAGGTGATACCGCTTCAAAATCTCTCAGGAATTCGCATGTTTGCGATTACCTGGGGAAACTTGCTCAGACATGGAAGATTGCACTTCCACAAATGGAACAGAAATCGTCTCCTAGCCTTCGACTTCTTAGGACATTGATGCGCTATGTATGCGCTCCAGGTTATGTGGTAAGTCACTAATCATTCCTCGTAGCTAAACGACCAATTTTATTTACTCATTTGCTCCTTCATATATTCGGTGGACGCTTTAAAACAATACAATTTTACATTTCAGGTGAAATCCAAACATGGCGATAAATGTGCTTCTTGTCGGTGCAACTATGAACCACTTTATCAGGTAGCAATATACATTCTGTTTTTCGATCCCATCGTCCTTTCCTTTTACTTTGCCTTGAAAATCAAAAAAAAAAACATGTAAACAGAAGCACTCAGAAAGAAAACTGTAGGGTTCGTTCTCTCTCTTTCTCGGACGAGCCTTTGTGTTAAGTCTTTTAAAGAAGTTTTTCTCGATGGTAGATATTACAAAGATAACTGATCTGGTAAATGATTTCCTTTGTAGGAATTTGGGGTATTCCTTTATCCGGAAAACAGGGGCGAACTCGGATCACCCCCGCTATTCTATGGAAAACTGAGCGATGGCACTGCAGTTGCAAGAACGTTTCAGCTATATCTGTATACTCCTGACAAGTGAGTGTTGCTTTTTATAAAACTTTGCTTTGGAGTACTTCTCTGCGTCTGCACTTTCTGTGCTTTGCACGTCAAACTAATTTTCACGTGTTCATGCGAAAATGCTTGCATGAATTCCAAAAGTGGTGTTATCTAAACTCTCCATTCATTGTGTCTGCAGTAAATATGGACGGAGACGTTGCGGCTGCGGCACAGTGCGAGCATTTATCTGTCCTGTTAATTCTATCGTTTGACAGACCGGCTAAGAACAGCAAGAATGGCAAAAATAGCAACGAAAGGTAAGGTCGAATAGTACTCGGTATTTTTCCTTGTCTACACATCCGCGAGTTTCTAAATCGAAGTTCTTGAGTTCCTCTAACTTTGTATGCCTAGATAAGTATTAGGTTCTCCCAAAAGTTCGTGCGTATTTTGAACTTCTTTTTGAGCCTACTCTTTCAAGCACATGTGCAACCTATCATCATTATATGTACCACCACTATCAGTGACTTGTTACCAACATCCAACCAAAGATTGGCAACTTAACTCTCAAAAGGCTGGCAGTTATGAGCTGAAAAAGGCAGTGAGGTCGATTTTGAGGTGCTAATGGGAATCGTATTTTTTGTCGTCAAGAAGGCGGCTGAGCAGAAAGGGCAGATGTCTTTCGAAAGAGAATGACTACCGCTGCACGATGAATGTGGTAGGACTTTTCAGCTGGGCTTCGATATTCAGAATCGCTTCATTTTCGAAATGTGTGGTCTCGGGTGTCGTGGAGCGTACACACTTTTTCGAGTTTTAAGGACAGTTGTTGGAGTTTCACCGTGAGTCTCTGCCGTTGATCTCCCTACACTTGAGTGAATTCATAGCTATAATGATTGACATGTCTCTAGTGGTTTACTCGAGAACGCTCCAAAAGAGGTGGAGCACGACCTTGTGGTGAATTTCTTCACTTTTTTCACCCTCTTCTGTTCGATCCAGTCCCTGGATTCTAGGTGTGGTTGTCATGAAACCTGAGCTTCTCAACTGCAGTAGTGGCTTTGTTCAACCAGGGCGTACGGGTGGAGTAGGAACCAAATTATGGACGGAGTGCGTGTCGCACTCCTGTCATCGGTGGTCAATTCATGGGGGAATCTTAGCAAAGCTTCAAGCATATTTTGAAGTAGCGAAAACCTTCACGAATTGTGCATCTGGT